AAGCCTCTGGGACTAGAGAGCTGCAGATACACAAACAAGCTGGCTTACAACTGGCTCAGGTATGCCTGCAACCCAGGATTACAGCCCAGTTAACATCATTAAATCATTCAGAAGAAAGCACTCAGAACAAAGTAGGCAGCTCAGAGATTTTAAGAAGTATTCTTTAAGTTACTTTTCACATCACTTGCTTCTCTACAGCTGTTGGTGCTATAAGTTGCCTGCGTAAACCCAAGCTAGTTTCGTCATGCAGCTCAAACTGGAAGACAGACAGCAGCAACACTTGATTCTGGCCAAACAAAGCTTATGTCTGACCACATTTGAAGGCTACTACTTTTGTTTTACTTGTCTGGTTTCTCCTTTGAATTCCAACAAGACAAAATACAATTAATTGCTTTTCTAAAAACATTGTAAGGACTGAAATGTATTGTAACAATATTTGCATTTCATTCCAGGGTAGCTGCATTTCAGGTACGTGCAAAGTTATGTTTTTATTAGTTGTATTTCAGTTGGTTTTGTCCAGCGCTCCAAGTCTTTTTAAAATCAGTGAACTTCATAAAACATATGTTAGCACATTTATTATCTCCATATATAGCATTTACTTTAATAAACAGATCACTGTCATCACTAATGGAGGCTCAGTAAAACTAAATGAAGAAACAGATTCAGTTATCTCTGACCTCAAATGAAAATCCAGACCCCATCTCAGGGTCAAGGTCAAAAGGAAGAGTTGGGTGTAAATGCAGGAAGAGCCAGATGACTTTCAATCATACAGTAGTTATTATAAGACATGTAGTACTTTAGAAAGGTTTATCCACCTGTTTCAATTTACCCCAAGCGTTCACAATTAATGAATACCAAATCCAAAAAAAGTCACTGCCATATAGATGCCTAGTTGCACATCATACATCTATTGAACACGCCAACTATAAAAATATTAATTCTCTGTCTACCTAAGAAAACTTTGTAACTGTTGCTATTATTCTTATTGGGAAAAAAAAAATGTGTAACTGTGCCAGCTGGCAGGACAGGTTGTGACAAATCATATATAGAAAGCAAGAATCGTAAAAATACCAGGAGCCTTTAAAGACCATACATCCATTATGCTGTGGCACAGAATGGCAAAGACATTTGCCATTTGCTATTGAAAGCTCGAGCTTTTCAAAACTACATTTATTCTAATTTGTAGACGTTGAATAAAACTTCTCCCACTACTGAAATAGAATTTTTCACTTTTATAAGACTTACAGTAAGAGTTCTAAGATCTTGATACTGAATAAAAAGGTTTCCCATTTTAAAGTCTTCTAATTTTAAGGGGGTCTTATAAAACCTTAAGTCTAAAATACTGCAGAGGACCTGAGCTCTTCATGTTGTGCACCCAGAAAACACAAAAGAGGTTTGTAAACTGGATCAAAGTTTCCACAAGTTACTAGACAGCCTTGTAAAGACAGGCAGTATTCTCAACTTCTCTTGAGAAAAGCTGAATTACATCTATTTTTACATGAAGGAGGATAAGACAATGATGATGATGCAAAGACAAATCAAAAGCAACAGGTATCACTACCAATGAAGTTAGTACCCTCAGAGTTGTGCCTGGGTAGTTTTGGTCTTGGTGGACTGAAAGCACAGGAAGACATCTATTGCATAAATACAGTAGGTCTTCTGTGGTGGTAGCCCTTCTCCTTGCTCCAGGGGTGGCCCTGTCTTCTGTTCCATAAACCATTTAATAAATCTTCTTAGAGCTGCAAGATTCAAACAGCTGAAAAGACGGGCACAGCAGCTACTCTGTCCTGCTCAGCATCTCTCTCATCAACTGCGGGACAAGGCTGGGATGGAGGCTGGCAATACCAATTTCATCAGCTCCTGCTGGGTCCATCCTCTCACAGCCATCACCCCAACTTCTCATAATCCTGATGTCAGGAATGTGGCACAATCCCTGCCTGAGGGATGCGCCTGAGCTCCTCCAGAGCTGCATCTTGGCCACATCTGCACTGGAATCACGTGGGCATTCAACACACAGTGAAATCTTGGCAGTGTTGTACTTAATGGCAAAATTCCCATTGATTAAAGCAGAACCAGAATATCACGTATAATACTTTTACTTGGCCAGAATACCTCCTCTTTCTCCTGAGACTTGTAAGAGCCATAAATAAAGTTAAAGCAATATAGTACTCAGCAGTTTTAATAGAAACCTCCTCTGTTAAACGACCACCAAAAATAGTTGCTTAAGACAGGTTATACTGAATCATAAATGAGAGAAGGCTGCTTAGGATTTTTTTTTTAAAACCAACACTACTTTTATTGGTTGTCAATGTTTTCCTATTAGTCAATAAATGCATTTGATATAGGTGAGTTTCCAAAGTAAGCATGATGGGAGGGCTAGTGTAACATTCAAACTAACTTAAAAAGAAGTTACTTCAAGATTCCCTTTGGGGTATTTACAAAATATGCAGTTAATTTGTTGCACCTAATTTGTGTGTATGTACTGGGAGGTAATTAGTGTAGAAATTCAACCAATTTTACAATCTTTCTGTTCAACTCAACAAATTACAGTTTTCAACACCTGTTTCTGGCAGTGACAATAGTTTTAGTACTTCCTTAATTTCCATAGACCAGAAGTATACCCCATGCAAAGCAACAAATATATTATATAGATATGCACATGCAGAATAGCCATAGCTAGCATGAATACCATCACCGCTATAGGCACCCAGTCACACAATATCCCCCTGTAGAATTAGGAAAAAAAAATGTGTATTTTAATATAAATTGTATTACTGGCTTCAGGTATTGGACACCATGAAAGGTTTCAAGGCACTTTCCATAATAACACTTACTTTAAAAATTGTTTCTAAGTTTGCCAAACTAACTGCTTGTTCTAAAATTTTACATGTTGGCTGTCTGCCCTGAAGCTGGGGTTTTTTTGTTGTTTTGTTTTTAATTTCAGCCAAAATCCTCCTCCAAGAAGGAGACCACAGAACATTTTGTTGGTTTGCTAAAATAGTACTCTGGCAGCCTTTACTTCAACTTGGGCACCCAATGCTTTGGAGTAGGAATTTAAAATTTGATCAGAGCTTGTGGGGGAGGAGAAATGAACCCCAGGAAGCCTAAGCTACAAGCCTTTGGGAGAAACATAAAAATAACTACAGAGTTTCCACATGCTTAACAGAGACTTTATGATTTCAGAAGCTAAAAGCTTAAAAGAACGTGTCTCACTGAGAATATTCTCTCCCCTCATGGCTCCCAACATTTACGTCTGCATATGTCTTCAGAAAACAAATTATCATGCTTCCTGCAAGCCCCGGGTTACAGGTAAACACAGAGTTAGCAGCAAACACATTCATAGCAAACACTGCTACAAGCTGGGCTGGACAGTAGAAGGAAGCATCTCTCAGCAGTTGTGCTGATGCCAGCCAGATCTCCAAGTCAAATACAGAGGAGACACACTTAACCACGACTCTCCTGCAATTCCTTACCTCACCCATTATAAAACTTCCAAATGAACAAGGATCCTATTGGCAAAAACATCCTTCACTACTTGACTCCAAATTCATTATCAGACTAGATCCATTCTCTGCATTATGTGAGGTAGGAATTATATATATGTTATATATACTATGTGATCTGGTTATCAAAGGTTCGATTACACATCTGCAACTATGGTTCCATGTTTCTGTGTTTTCCAGCACTGCAATTCTAATAGTTTTTACTGCAGGTAGTTTTGTGTCTAATTTCTAAATGAATGCAATCCTGTAGAAACAGTAGGTTTATCAAAAGAGAGACAGTTTTCTTTAAAAGTAAGCTTGCTCCCAGTAGTCCTACACTCATATATAACATTAATGAGTCCCAAATCCCTGAATAACCTAGAATGTAAAACAGTTTTCAAAGAAAAGTGAAAGGAGAACACATCAACAAGTACTGTTTAATGACTTCTGCCTGACTAATGTGTTAAAATATGAAGTCCAAGATCTCAGAAGATCATTCACAGACTTGAGCTAATTCAAGCATACAATTTTGTTACCCAAATGTGCATATATAAAAGGATCCATCATACAATCAAAATAGGAATTTAAATACGTAATTGATCATTAAGTCTAGAGCCTGCAAGTAAGGCTGCACCTGAGTAGTTCTTGTGAAATCAGTGTGAGTATTTATATGCATAAAGCCAACTGGGTACCTGTGCTTTGCAAGATCAAGGAGATGGTGAATGGTTAAGGTAATACTTATGCAAATCTATCACCACCTGCATTTCACAACAAGAGCTCTTGGAAAGCTTGTTTTTGCAAGATAATCTGTAGAAAACCAAGCAAATTAAAAAATAAGACCACTTAGTACAAGTTTTTGGTTAATTGTGTCTGTACAAGAGTGCATCAAAACAAAAAGCAAATAATCGTACAGCAAGTATTTATCAGTATAGATTTTTATTTCTTTTCAAAATTTTGGGGTTTGCTTAGATTTAAAATACTTCAGTAATTACCTAAAGCAAATGTACACTTTGTTAGAACTTCTGATAAGTGCTATTCTTTAGTTCTGAAAATGTGTGACAGAATACAAGAAAATATAAAATTAGGTTAGCAAAATACAATAACGGAGCTTTACAAGAGGGACACACATTATAAGTTATTTTAACTAAATGTATCAGGTAAACATGCTGTAACAGCTCTCCACTGAGAAATGCGTGCCTATAAACTCAATCTGCAACCTGAATCCCAGGAAAAATTCACTACTGATCAACTCAAGGCTAGTAGGTCCAAGGAAAAAAAAAGTCTGTCTCAAGCTGTGTTTTTTCATTGAACAAATCTTCCCTTTTTCTATAACATATTCATTTTAAATTTTAATACATAACTAAACATAGTAAAATCACTCAATAACATTCTCTTACTATTCAAGAGTTACCTAAGTTTGTAGCCATAATGTAAGTTATTTTATATGCGAACAGTTAAGTGTTTAATAAAAAAAAATATTTATTGCATCTAAGTGAAAAAAAACCCCACAAAACAACCTTGATAGTTCTTAAAAAAAAAAAAAAAAATCATTGTCTGGCTAATTGCCAAACAATCCCCTTCCCTGGCTTGCTTTTTCAAGAATTATCAAAAATCTCTGGAGTTCATTGTGATCTAGACAACCACAGGTGGTTAGTCTTTATGGGATCAGGATGCACAGTATTTGATTAAACCCACATACTTCGCAAATGATCTATAAGGATAAAAAAAAGTGGTTTGTTATTGAGTCCATTTCCAAAGCAGAGCTCACAAGGTTTCCTCCTCGCGTAAAAACTGGAACACAGCTGAGAAGTCTTTCAGGGCATAGCCTTTTGCACACATCATCCTGTAGATCTGATGTGCCTGGGATCCCAAAGGAACTGGTGTCTTTGTGTTGGTGGCAGAAATCTGGGCCAAGCCAAGATCCTGTGGCAGGGGGAGAAGAGAGGAGGAGGGCAGAGAGGAAGAATTGAAGGCAAAGAGAAAAAAAAGTCAAGGGAGAAACAACAAGGATATAAATAGCCATGTACATATTATAGCTTATTTGGCTTCCATTGTGAAGAGAACTCTACTGCCAACAAATACAAAACTCCAGCCTTAAAATTTGAGTCCTGGAAAAAGGAAGCCTTGTTTAGTTTTTCATTTCTAAAACAGTAAATCAATGTTATTTGACAGAAAAACCCCCAAACTTTGCAAGGCATGCAAACTCCTTCTGGACAGGAGGAATTTTAAGATTCTAGATCACTATATAACCTTGTAGCAAAACTCAGACTCTTTTTCCCCACTTTGTTATATCATATCCAAAAATAAATTCTCCTGGCTATTCACTTAAGCATTTCACATAGGTTCTAATGGCATAATTTTCATGTTCTTTCTTTCTAAAAAACAGGTTAAAAATCAAGCAGGAGAGATCAGAGTAACAACAAAATTGAAGCCACTTAGCCTACATATATTTACTGTAATGTGACCACTTAATAGCAAAATGAGAGGCACAGGCCACTTTGTGAATATGAATGGTTTGCTGCCTAACTGGAAAAACGTTCTAAGAATTCCTTATGGGACTGTCCTGGGTCTGCTACAACTCCAAGTTCTCTTTAATGACTGCAGATAAAGGGATACAGAGAATAATTCTACAGCATTTTTAAACACTAAATCTGGGGCAAAAAAAGGAAGGGAGGTTGCAGAAAGGATAAATTTGAAACCTGTCCTCCAAGAATCTTTGGTCAACTAGAGCAATAATCTGAAATAAATAGGACAGAACTCAAAGGCAAGTAGCAGGTACTACGACTAGCCATAGTCAGCTAGAAATAGTCAGCTGCCTGCATGCTGGACAGAAATGACAAGCTATGCTGGAGGATGTCTTGAATTCCAAGCTGAATCAGACACGAAACCAATCAAAGAAGGAAAAGCTAACAAGGGTCTGGATATATAAGCAGATATCTTGTCTAAGTATAAAATTAATGCCTGCACTCAAAGTTGCCTTTATAAGGTCCTCCTAAAGAAATCAGTTTTGTAGTCCACATTTCAATAAATTTGCAAACGAATCTCTTAAGTGTTACTAGGAAGTGCCTGGACTGTCTGTCCATCTAGGACTATGGTGGTTTATAAAATTTGCTGTGGTTTTTTGTTTTGTTTTTTTTTAAAATAATGAATCTTTGATACAGAAGATCTGAGAGGCTGGAGTACTGCTGAGAGCACCTCTGGCTTCTCAGGGATGACTTACAAGACAGGTCTTTACTTTCTGTGTGTCTGGATTTGAATTAGCACAAGGAAATTCAAGATCTTACTCCACTCTCTAAATGTCACTTCGATCTGTAAATCGGCTCTATAAAGGTCATTCTGATACAAATCAGAATTATAGTTACTCTTCCTATTACCCTTGAATGACTTCAAGATCTAGGAAAATGGGATAAACATACGTATTAGATGACACAGGATCCAAAATATTCTGCATCAGGGCAGTTCAATTCTTCCTGCCTAGCAATTCTGTTGAAAGACTGATGACCTGACAAAGTCAGATTACAGTTACTATAAAAACAGTTACTTTAACCTCACTTACTGTAAGAAGTTCCATGACATATTCCTAGCTTCTTCTAAACCCTCTTTGAGAAACCTGTTGCAATATTATCCATTTTATTCAACAAAGCTTAAAACTTATCATGGAATAGTAGAATGGCAAAATCATTTAACTCCAAACTAGTGAAGGTGCTTGGTTTTGGTAGTGGTGATTGTGATCTATTTCTCTCTGAAGGGGCATTCACAGAAGCAATCCCTGAAAATTCTGAATAGACTGCGAGCACAAATAAAATGTCATAAAGCAGTTCTGATCACTTTAATAATGAAACTCTGGCTCCAGGATGGTCGAAGCATCAGACAACTTCTCAATAATTAAATGGACAAGGACTCCTGACTCAAAAGTGCAGGAAGGTTGTTTTGTTTTTTTAAATTCCATTCTATAAATTAGAGCTTTGAAGGAAAAAAATTACAAAATGTAAGTAAAGCTTATCTTTAGCTTCAAGTTGTGAAGTATTTTGCACCTTTTCTCTTGACGCTGGAGATTCCTTGAGCGAAACAGTACAAAACAGCTCTGAAATAAATTTGCCCCTTGCTGACCTTTATGGAAAAGCAGAAATCAGAGCATAGTTTATGGCTCCTCTCATACTCTTTTGGAACTGACAACATCTTCCAGATGTCTCACTGTACCAACTATTCTAACCACTTTTTCTCAGCCTGGAATAGGGAAATAGATTCTCTTTCTGAATCTGCTTCCAGTGCTCAACTTTAGAAATACCTGGTGCCTTGCATTTATCTTGCAGTTGACATAAATGAAACTGTCACCCAGAATAAAGCTCAAAGGTTGTCTTGACATGAGTAAAGAATAATATGATATAAATCTAGCTCTTTCAGGATTCAAAGAAGATGTTTAATTAGCAACTGTCCTGTAAATGAAAGACAGAACTTATGGTTTGCAATGCCTTGGACAGAAAGATGGCACGAGGAAGTAAATTAGATTTTTTAAATGCAAAATCCTTAGAGTAAGTTTCACTTTAAGTTGACTAAATTCTATGTTTCAATATCAGATTTCAAGACTGAAAAGCTTTTCAGAGCTGTCTGACAAACTTTTCTGTCCCAAACACTTAAAAGTAAGGATCCTTTGGCTTTGTTTGAGAGATCCATTGCTGACAAAGTATTTTTAAGAAAGCTTTTGACTTCTGAAAGTTAGTAACTGTGTTTAGTGACTGTGTTACTGAGTCACTCTTAGACATTCTTATTGTGGAGTATTTTCTTCTCAGCCTCAGGATTGTACCTACTTTTTTATCCTCTGAATATAGCTTTTCTTTTTTCTTAAGCGGCAAAAGCATGCTCTGTATTTCCCATTTTAAAAAGTCCCCAACTCAGGTCACAAAACTGCATGATATGTCACATACCAGGATGAAATGGATAGTAGCAAAAGTTTTTCCACAAACTAAGGAGCAGTGTCTTAAAAGAGGTCACCACTGCACCAAATAATACCCTGCACAGGATCAGCTGTCTTGGCTACTTATTGAAGTAATCTTCCATCTATGTATAATAACAGTATTGTTCAAGAGGCATGAAAGGAATTTAGTGTCTTTCCTTCTTACTGAGGTTTCCAGTCTAAAGAAGGTACTCTTCAGGACTGGCAGAAGAAGCATAGTCAGCAGAGGTGAACAGCAATTACAAACCTCTCGGAGGAGCTCTCCTCTTAGTTATCACTGATGCTTTATACCCAAAGGCTGGCAGTTTCAACAAGCGCAAGACAGCCTGCTATTTCTCCAATGAAAGGAAGATATTTCAAGGCAGCTTCCAGAGAAGATTAAGGTCCCTCTTAGAAGCAGACCAAAAGAAAAGAGACCCTTTACAAAGAAATTTAAAAGGGAGGGAAGAAAATACATGCCCTCATCACATTTATACTATGAGGTTACTCTGGACAAGAGCAAGAGTCATGAGAACAGAGGTTGCAGTGTGAAATGGCACAATAGGCAGAACAGATTCTGAAAACAGCATACAAGATGGAAACAAGAGCTTTGAGGCAGGGCCAAGATCAGGTTGCTTATCTCTAATCAATAGCCCTGGCAACCTCCAAACAATAACATAACACATTTTATAAATCAATAATATAAATAACACTTGTTCCCTATGTTCAATGATGTGAACATGATGTAAAAACTGCTGCTTTCCAATATTTTAACACATCCCTCAATGAAATGAAGGCTCCTGGTTGTTGGTCCACAAATGTAAAATGTAGCAGGTCAACCATTGAGGGGTTTTGAGCCATGCAGCATAAGCAAAATTTTTTATTGCTACCACATGCAAAACACTTCAGACCCACTCTGGACAGAATTTGGCTAATTCCACTGAATATGCAAACACACCAAATGACATAAATCAACTGCAAAAATGACAGGAACAGTATAAATAGGAAAGTACTACATACAGAAACTCCAGCACTGTGGAGATTTGCATGGCAATATCCGAGTTTGATCACCAGCAACAAGAATGTTGTTTCAGTTTTAAGTGTTTGATTTCCACTGTATGTGGAAGAGCTGAAAATGGCCAGAATACCTAACCAGTTGGGAGCACTCATAAACTGGTATGCCTAAAACTTGTCCTATATGAAGTCAAATGCCTCCCTCAGGACAGTATCCCCATGAAACTAATACTTAGTGTGAAATTATTTCCTGCACTTACATGCTTAGATGACAGACCTCTTCCAGGCTGGTTTTACAATTTACCTTAGGCAATCATTGTGCTAAATGCAGAAGTAGTTCAAGAGTCAGAGCTCTACAGCTCCCTTCTCCAACTGTGCGTCCTCATCAGTGGGATGCAGAGCCCTGACCTCCTTGCCTACTTTCCTCTGGCCTCTAAGAGCTTTGCTTTCCTGACCACAGAGTGACTCAGGACAGTGTTTTTCCTAGAACAGCCAAGAGCATGGCAGTAAATGCACTCTCCTGGGATAAGACAGCTGTAGGTTACAACTTCCTCATGCTGAGAAGGACCTAACGCCCAGATCTCCCACTTTGTGGACAAGTAGTTTAGATTACTAGGTTATTACTCATAAGAAGCACTACTTCTGCCACCAACAAAGACAATTCTGGAGAGCTCAGAGCATGGTGCAGATACCTGCAGAAAATCAGCCTGTGGGGGTGTGTGTTGAAACCTGTCTGCTTTCTACATTCCAAATGGCCTTAAGCAGAAAGACAATTACATAAACAGTTGGCTTAACAAGAAAGGGGATGCTAGAGGGCATGTCCAGTAGTACAGTTTAATGTATCTGGAAGAGATTGGACCCAAAATCTTAGATGCTTATGCCACTATTAGTACCTAAGTAGGTTGGTTACCTGGATTTCCCTGAATTGCTCTCTTCAGCTTAGGCTTGAAAATTCTAGAACAGCCATCTAAGAGACACCTAAATGACTTGCTGAACGCTTGTCATACATACAAATCCAGCAGGACTCCTGGATTAATGCAAAATTCAAAAAGATGGTGCATATAATCTCATGGAGTGGGTCAGCAGTAATAGTGGCTGGAAAGAGGCTGGAGGCTAAGGAAAAGCCCCTTACACAACTCATTAATTCAGAGCTACAGTAAGAGGTTGGGTTCCCCTCTGTTCATGCACACATATTTTCCTGCAATCGTAAATTTTTACTGAGAAGAATGTTTGCTAGAAGCCCAGAGAGAAGCAACTGTACATACTTTACGTGCAAGTGTTATGTACCTTAGCCATGAGTGTTGTTCCAAAGCCACCTTGATAATTATTAGCAGATGGTACTCCTTCCATCACTCCAGGAACAGGGTTGTATGTGTCGCTTGACCAACAGCGACCCGAGCTCATATTTAGGATTTTGGCCAGCAGCTTTGGGTCAAGGCCTAATCTGTCAAAGGTCAAGGAAGAGAAGTGTTAATGTCAAAATGCACAAGACATGGGTGACTTGTTTTATATCTTAGGACCCTACCGTCATTTCTCTCCCTTTAATATAAGTCATGAAAAAAGACAGCGTATTGATATTGGGGGTAGGGATGCTGTATCTTAAATTAAAGAGCATCAATCCACCATTTAAGCACTAGGTTTTCAGAGCTTTTTCCTTTTGCACTAAGCAAATTCCCTTCACCTAGCAATTTTGAAAATGCAAGTAAAAGAAAGGTCCTCTGGGAACAGTAGTTCCCTCATATTTCAATTTGTTCTGCTACCTATTAGGTATCAAAATTATATTCCCCAAATCTGAACAAAGCAAAAAATTCATGAGCAAGTGTGGCAGCATGAATGTACTTGTGTGTATGTTTACACATGAATGTTACTACTGCATTTTTTATGTAAGTAAGATAATGCAAGTGATCCTGCTCTAATAATGTACACAAAAATGCTACATTTCTCAAAAATATTACTACGGTATACATCTGTACTTTCTTGTCTTTGCTATTATTAAATCTTCATTATATACTCCTGCTTATGAGGCAAGTCTGCCTCTCACTATGACGTATGTTATCTATTCACAAACATATATTATAGTTCTGGGTCAACTGCTGATAAGGTTACTGATCCTGATAAAACAAAGCTTGTCCAAGTAGAAACATCATTTGTTCTATCACGGAGCTGATGGCACAAACTGCTGCTCAATGTAGACCCTGAAAGTTCGTCAATATTATAGGAAATTAACCCTTTCATGAATTCAAATTTATGCTGATATTAAGTTGCAAGTGTAATTTTACACCAATTGCATTTATACCAATGACGAACGGCAGCAGTTTATCTGGCCCTGTACAAATGTTGTTATGCTTATGACAGAGAAGAAAGCAAGGGAATTATCGCCAGTAACAATCCAAGATGGGAAAAGGACATTTTTAGAGGGATATATCACAACCTTCCATAAAGGTTTTTTTAAAGAGGTCAACACCCTTTATATTAGCTCTTACACCAGACTTTTTGCAGATTTCCATAGCCATGGCAATCCTAGCCCTGCTTCCAGGTGCCGCAGCACTCAAGGTTTTAATTTGAAGATGAGAAAATCTTATTACCAATGGAATAATTGTTAAAACTTATATCTATTTATTCTAGCAGGCATTTTGGATTTGCAAAACTACATTCAAGACAGTGGGCACTACAGCATGGTTCCTGTTCCCATAACAGTACATCTCCTGCAATTCTGCCCTCCTAATGCAAAGCAAGATCACTTTCTGTGCCACAAAGGTAGCTTTTTAGCAATACTGCTATGCAGTCTTATTTATAACTTGATGCAGCAGCCTCTGTAATTCAATGAAAAGCCTTCTGCTGGCCTGAGTGGAATCAGACTTTATTCTCCCCCTCATTTTTTTCCAGCTCTCTGACTCAATTCAATGTTTTCAACACCCATTTATCTAAAAAAAAAAAGAAATGTTTTCCAGTACCAATATGTTTTCATAGTATTTTAATTGTACTCCTATCTTGTATAGTACATTACAGTCTTCATCAAGAACCACTCTGAATAACTGCTTTAACTGTCATCCAAAAAAACCTGCTGTGGGAGCAGATACCACCTGAGCTTTCAAATACACAGAGGTTGCTTTTTTGGCCAAAACAAATCTCTTTGCCTGATTGTTTCCTTATCACTGTTATATCCAGATCAGTATTTTTAGCAATGCAGTGCCTACTTGTGCCAAACCGAGCTGCCTGCAGAGGCCCGTAATTACAGCTGCGAGTATACCGTAAAACAGTGAGCTTATTATTTCAAAATGCATATAACCCTCCCGAAACCCACTGTTCTTATAGCGTTCCAAATACCTCTCTGTGAAAGCATACTTTAAAAGATATATGTGTATTATACAGAACTGTAAAATATTGTCTGCACTAGATCTGGCATATATTTGCTCCAGGAAGAGAAAAAGTGTCAGTTTAAATCCCCGCTTCTTCAAACTTCGCTGCTCTTAAACACCATGCAGATTCTCTTCAGGAGACCTGAGCCTATTTTTTTTCTCCTCTGCAGCAAGTGTATCATTAATAAGAGCAAGTTAGAAGTGCTTTGCATTTCATCTTTCTGAGGATTCATCCACTGGTGCATATATAACTGACAGTTAAAATTAGACGTATATTAAAATCAGTTACTGAAGAAGTCCTCTGTCTTCCACTGTGCCCAAAGCTTGTAATGGTCTGAAACCAGCTAGAATATACAGTAATTGTCATTCAGTGAGAGTCTATCCTAGAAAGTCATGCTTCAGTGGAGAAGACTGAGTTTCCATTTGAAATCAACAAATTAATCCAAGACAGGTATCTGAAAGGGCAAGTTTAATAGGAAGCAGCTACTGGGCTCTCAACCATGATAAAATGTTATTGCTGTTTCCCTGTAAATTGGCTGGGAACATATGATACTCTCTGCATAAGAGCTCCATTCCTGTTCAAGAGATATACTGCTCCAGCTATCAAAATGATGACGGTCTGCCAGTCCCCATAACAACTTGCCATTGGATGTAGCAAGAGCTTGTCCATGCGCGTGTGAATTTACAATTACCAAAATGTTCTTCTCCTTTATAAGAAGAAAAGAAGTCTGTGCGTTAACTGTACTTATAATGCAGCAAAAACAATTGCTTCCCTCAAATCAATGCTTCTTCAATAACATTCCTAATGAACTGAACAGCAGAAACTCAGCAACAGACACACATGCCAAAAAAATGGTTAAAATAGGATCCCTCTGAGCCACTGCTCAAAACTCAAGTTCTGCTGAGCTTTGATAAAACAACATACCGAAATTTTCATACACCCCCTCCAAGTGTTCAGTCTGGAACAGACAGAAAAGTTGAAATGGCATCTCACAGAAAAAGGTATGTCCTGGTCTCATTTTAAGGTGTAACAACTGAAGCAGCTGAATTGTTGAGAGTTTTTCATCTCAAGGTGCTTCAGATAAATTTTTCTAGCATTAGACGTTGTTACACTGGAACTCCGAGCTCAGTAAAAGAAAGCACTGAGATGATCATCAAAAAGAAAAATAGTCTCTGGCTGTGGACAGTATAACTTAATGTTTTTATTTCTCATTTGTGAAGTTTACATGTGCTCTGTGAGTTGGTTTGACACAGAAAGTCACTACAGTATTTTGAAATATGCACATTATCCATAAAATCATATAGCAAAATCTACTCAAGATTTTCCTATTGATGAGTTGCACTATCATGCTAGGGAAAAAGAAAATACAAATGAAAATGTGAATTAATTTCCAGAATGTCTGCCAAATCTTCTAACTTTTAGTAGTAACATTCATAAAGCATGAGAAAATTAATGGAAAAAACAAAACAAAACAAGCATTTCAGTGGTCAGACCTCAGGATGGATTTTTTTGTTTTGTTTTAGATTAGTTATGGAATATACACCAAATAACTTCCAGTGAAATGGACATCTTCATTAGTAAATGAAGATGATTAGTAAATGAAGATGATGATAGAGTAAAGTAGAAAAGCAAGTGGAATATAAATGCAGAAATTAATAGCAATATTGCCTATTTTTCTAGGAGTTAATTGTGGAATTTTTGCTCAATAATGTCAGTTTTCTTCCTCCTCACCACATTGTATTTGCTACTTATGTTGAAGTTGGGAAAAAACCTATAATTTCAAATACAAAATAAAACAATAGCAGATGCCATTTAAAAATCTTAAATTAATAAAACAGTAACTATCTGCTTCAGAAAATGAAAGTTCAGGCTGCATCATTTATGAAAACTTTAGAGAAGTGGTTTATTAACAGAATGAATATCACACTGTTTTGAAGACTTAAGCTCAGAGTATATACTGGTTTCTGAAAGGTGCTATAATACGACTTTCTGGTTACAACTAGTTCAGCCAGCATTATTTTGAGAACCTAATTATCTGAAGTCCCTAAAACTCAAGATTTAAATGATGTAGCAGATACATACAATGTATGACATGAAGATCTTTTATGTTCTGTCTGAAAGTTAAGAACATGTCTAAGCTCCACAATTCCTATTATGAATTCTTCAGATTTCCAGTGTCCTTTACCATTATTAGGTCAGAGTCAGACTTTCTTTACCAGATATGCATAAATCTAACAAATCAAGTTGAGCTTCCTACACTCTCCAGACTAGGCAGCCTCACTATCCTTTGAGTTTTAGACTTGAAAAAAAATTCTAACATATTTGTTAACATAGCCAAACTTCTAATAATTAGAATTACAACTGTTAACTTGTACATTAGAAATTTGTTCACATCAAAAGTGGAAAGCTCTTATTCTAGTTATATGCAGAAATTATCTTCTCCTGGATTTAAATCACGGCACATTAAAATCAGTGCAAGGGTTCTCAATTACTTAATAAGGCTCTACATTACTGCCTCTGTCCTAAACCACATGCAGTTTTGGACTAAATGAGATTCTGCTCTTTGTAGAATCAGCAGGTTTCTTCTACAATAAGTACATTTCCTTCCTTATCATGATTGTAGGGTAGGAAAGTTTGTGTATTGCCACCTTCACACGATTTTTGCTTATAAATGCTGAATACAAATTCAGCCAAAATTTAAACTGGAAAAGGATAAAACAAAAAATGAAAATTCTAAACACCTTCAAGCTACAGAGGCTGCAGACATCAACTCATTCCGCACAAGGTTTACATACCCAGAATATCTGTCTTCCAAACCTCTTGATTTTATTTTACCTCTAATTTTAACTCTAATCATTCTTACAAATTTAGATAAAAATATAATGAAAACTGAGTTGCATATGCTTTATTAAGTGAACCATGACTTAAACCAGAACCTGATGAAAGCTTTACACTACATTGGATTGCAATAGTTGTATACAATGCTATTGTTTTTATTATGGCTTGATGCAGACATGCTTCAGTATCTTACAGACTCTCAATTTTAAAATGTAAATGGTACGGGATATTGATAAACCAATTAGCACTGATGCAAAGCAAATTCCTCTTTTATCTCAATTACAACATGACAACTTAATAGGTCAAGATAGTCTAACATCTGAGACAAGGGCAATTCAATAAAACAACTGCATCTTGATATGGTAATTAAGAGGAAATGTGAATCCATTACATTGCCTTGTGTATGTGTGCACATGCAGGCGTTGTTTTTTATTTATTTAAGAATTTGATGCCCTCTTGCTGTTTTTATAGTGTATCAAATCCACATGAGCACATGGTCTAAAGCCCAGTTGATAACTGTCTACAACATCTGTAGTTTTAGCAGGCCTATTTTAAGGATGCAACTGTGCAGATAAATAATTCAAGAAGAGCCCTTAAAATATAAGCAATTGCAATGTAATATCTTCATAGGACTTCTCTGTGTATAAACTTGCAAAGGATTTAGATCTGGTTAAGAAAATGTATGAAGGTTCAAATATTGTGATACTGAACTGGTACTTGGACGCACTTTACTGGTAAACAAAAGAAAATCTCAAAGACCACAGCAAAACAAATAGGTTACAATCGGAAAGGAAAAATAATTTTGTTTGAATATGCTGCCACTTACAAGGCAGATGCATCACCTGCTAGAAAAGAAACGGTACTCTTAACACAGACAAGAGTACAGGGGAGCATACTCCAGCTTTTTGTTAAAGTAGGAGTTTTGGCAATTAGCACAAACTGCTGCGTAAGTTAAACAGGAAGGTAGATGTTATTTTATGCTTTGATCTTAATTTGATATACACACTGTACTAGAAGTTTTACTTTACAATACATTTTTGAACAACTTAACAAAGTAAAAAAAGCCAACAAGAGCCATATGAGAGTATAATACTCTGAATACACTGTACATTAGCTTAGAATACAAACAAAAAGTTACCTCTATATTACCCCTGTGTGTTTATAATGTAAGATAAACACTATTGAACATTGCACTACAGCAGAACAAATAAAGTCTTAACTTCAGATGCAGAATGCAACAATCTATACAGCCAATATAAGAGAATATTCCTGTTCTGAAGAGTCCTACTTTAGTTAAATAATCCTTTAGCATGTTAATTGCTTTATAAGAGAATTTCTGTCAAAAGTTTATCTACGCCACCTAATAATCATCGTCTCAGTGAAAGTCAGTCATAAAACACAAAAACTGTTAACACAGAAAAAATGCTTCAATTCAATACAAAAATAAAACGAACCTGATTCCAAGATTCATAGCCTCAGCAGTTCCAATCATACTGATGGCCAAGAGCATGTTATTGCAGATCTTTGCAGCCTGGAAATAAGTTAAATGGTCAATTACTTTCTGCATTTTCATAGATCTAATATGTAGGAATCTCCCTTGACTATGTCTGGGACAGTATGACAACATATGTTCTGACAGCTCTCTTCTAAAGATAGCACCAGTAAGCACAGATCTACAGTAGTAAAAAGTCAATGAAAGCTGTCCTGTGGTTCCTTCAGAGATTAGGAAATACTTTTTTTCCTAGTACCATAGCTCAGTTAGTATAAATGGCATGTAGCAGTTCTTTGTCCCTCAGAACATTCAGTGAATCTAAATTTAGAAGAAACCAAATTAAAATCTGTGTCCTCTAAGAAGTATAATTTCAAGAAGCCAAAGTCAAGAAGCACCAGGTCAGATGTTTTGGTGCTAAGCTATACAACATGTGGGAGAAGAGTGCCATGAGGTTATTTTATAAACACACGGTTGAAGACAAGTAAACAAGCCAACAAGTATGAAGACATATGATCATGCATTTAGTTCTGGAATACAAGAGTAGGTATCATTAAAGGAAAACAAAGCAACAAAAATAGAAGACCGAGACAACTAGTAACCCTCAGGAAGCATTACCTGTCCAGTTCCAACCTCTCCACAGTAGACCACATTAGAACCCATGCATGTCAGCAATTCTTTGGCAGCATCAAATTCTTGTTCCACTCCACCAACCATGAAAGTAAGGTTTCCAGCTCGAGCAGCTCCAACACCTGAATCAAGACAACACTGGATTTAACATCACTATTTTTAAAAAAACCTGAAGTACTGTATCTTAAGTACTGTAATGATGATGTAAAACTTACATGCTTAACACTTTACTTATGATGAACCTCTTGAAGTCTATGTAAAAGTAAACCTATAGTCCCAGTACTTACACATCAGAGATCTTAATTCTCAAACATTTAACGAAGATAAAGCCATCTTATCCTTCAGACATACTGGCAGATAAACAATTCACAAGACTTACAGAAAACTAGCAATGTCACTCTTTATAGTTTCACATGAAGAAACAATCAACACTTTCTGCAACTCCACAAAATTCACTGTATCTGAATTACTAAATAAAATTTTGTTTTTTCAAACTACTCTTCACATATGACTATCAACAAACTATTGCTTAAAGTTAACTCTGCTTTTATTAGCTTTTCCAAACCTAGGCCAATTTTTATCAATGCTTTCTGATTTTCATGTAATTGAACATCTAAAAGACACAGGTATATAAAATCAAGCCTTCTGAAACTCTGCAGTTTAATATGTTTCTAATCTGAAGCAATATTGTACTTAATTTGAGAAACTTTGAGTTAGTTTCCAACACATAAACTTAGTACATACACAACTATGTAAAGAACTATGAAAAAGCAGTGTAAAAATTATTCACATGCATGCACAAACACCCTATTCCCAGTTTTATTTCTTTAAGACTGTCGTGCCTTTACGACAGGTCAGTAAGCACACACCATAGTTCTTTGATTATACAGTTCCTAAGCACAAAACCAGCAAATTTTTAATGTGATATTTATCAACTCCATGAAATATTCTATTCCTTAAAAGAAGCCTAATTCTAATACAAATTCCTCATACATCCTTAATCCCCTCATCTCCAACATTTAATGGATAGAACTGCTAGGAAAATTTGCCCTAAACTGATGAATGCATCAGTTTCCTCACTATTTTTCACTTCAGTAAGAAGCATAGCCACTACATATTTTCTGTGCTATGCATCAAACTTTGGGCTGTTAGGATGTACAGCTGCAGATAACGACCTACTTTCAAATTAAACATGCTCAACTAGGTACAGCGTTCTTACAAACAGAATGTCCAAGTGAAACAGTCTGTTCTTCTTCCATGTGGTGGACCATTCTGTTTCTACAGTAATTCAGGCTACTCTCCAGCTACGGTTCACAGTTCTTTGTCAACAATTAGCTACCATAATAAACATTAATAAATGCTTCTATTGAAATAGTCTCCAGACTGCAACTGGAACTATCTTCACTCAGCTAGATGTTGTATAGTGACAAATGAATGCACTCTTAAAAAGCTGATCAGTTGAAGATGGAGCGCTTTTTTTTGAAAAAAACCCCACAACCCCAAACAGTCAAACAAAACCCCTAATCTAACCTCAAACAGCAAAAAAGTTATTCTGTTAGAAGTATATCCCACTTAAACAGGACATTTCTGCTTTCCTTGTTCCCCATTAATAAATGAAATTATGCAATAAAAAACAATAGAAAGAGAAAAAAATAAGGCCACAACTAAGCCATCACTGCAATCACATTTGTGCACAAAAAGTTCTGATAAAGTGGGCAATGATAGCAGGCTAATCACAGCTTCTCTCAACTTAAAGCCTTAAGCCTATGCAAGCACTGTACCAAAGCAAAAGAATGAAATGGTCAGTACCAGACTTCCTTTCTGACATCAAGGACAGCAACACTGCAGCTCCTTACACTGAAGATTTTGAAGAATTTTGTTTTGTTTTCCCATAAAAATTTAAATTGATACACTGCCTCTGTGTCTCTATGTCTACAAATGCCCTTTTCTGTATCTGCCAAGCATCTATCTCCCCTATCCTGCCTTCCAACCTGCACCATCTTTTGAATTCACTGACTAATTTCAGATGGAACTGACAGATCAAGTCCTCAAAAATAGTAAATACCTACCAATTAGGTGAAAACAGGCAACAGAAGAAAGAGGCTCCCACTGATGAAGTGGCTGATCAACCTATATTACAATCTAGAATCACAGAATCACAGGATTGCTGGAGTTGGAAGGGACCTCTCGAGATCATGTAGTTCAACTCCCCTGCTCGAGCAGGGTCACCTGGAGCAGGCTGCCCAGGACTGTGTCCAGTCGGCTTTTGAATATCTCCAAGGATGGAGACTCCACAGCCTCTCTAGGAAACCTCTTCCAGTGTTTGACCACCCTCACAGTAAAAAAGTGATTTCTTGTGTTTCACATGGAATTTCATGTGTTTTAATTTGTGCCCATTGCCTCCTGTACTGTCACTGGGCACTTACTGAGAAGAGTCTGGCTCCCTCTTCTTCATTCTTTCTGATCAGGTTTTCATACATATTGATAAGATCTCCCCTGAGCCTTCTCTTCATGCTAAACAGTCTCAGCTCTCTCAGTCTCTTTTCATTTGAAAGATGCTCCAGTTTCTTCACCATATTCATGGTCTTTAGCTGGACTCACTTCAGTAAATCCATACCTTTCTTGTACAGATGAGTCCAGAACTGAGGCATCCAAAAGAACTCAGTCAGACTCACAGCTTTAAAAAAAAAAATCAGTCTATATATACAACATTAGAACAACACTGTTGAAGTAGTGAAATATCTACAGTGGTAAAGATCTTCCTGCTCAGGTTGAGAGAGACACTATTACAGCCAAACTTTAATCTTACTTGAACAACTCCTCCTCAGGTACCTCACAGGAACTGGGCTAAGAGTAAAGCCTAGATTTAGAGTTAACACAAACAGGTCATTGTCATCTTGTTGGCTACTGGTTTACTATGTACATGACCACAACGATTGCTACATTAATAAAACACAAAGATTTTTATTCCATTCCTCTAGCTATTTTTATTCAAACCACATAATGGCCTTTACCACTAATCCTGTGATCTGACCTGCAGCAAATTAAGTAGACAATTTAAGTCAAAGCTTACAAACAAAATCCAGTACTATCCATCATAGGTCAATAGCCTTGTATCTAGATTACAGACTGCTAAATAGCTTCAGAGAGTCATTTATTAGAGCAAAATTAATGCTGACAATAGTTTTCAGATGGTTAATCTTCTGACAGCTGCACTCTCTCACTTGTTCAAACACTTACATTTCAAGTAGAAAAAATAAATTAGTTAAGTAGAAAAAAAGAGCAATTTGTTGTACAATGCAGAAGGCTTGGAAAATTCTCTTTTAAAAAACAAAAAACCTGTTTACTTCACCGTAAATTTTATCATCTAGGGTCCTTGCCAACTACCAGCTATTTCATCAGAATTAAACAAGCAACGCAGCAAATCTATAACACTGCAAATTAAAAAAAAAAAATTGTCAGGGAGTCCAGGAGTGCAAGAACTGTAACTTCAGCTAAAAATAGAAATAAAAAATCATTAGACACGAATGCACAGATTTATTTCACAATCACAGATTCCATACCAACAACACAGGCCAGCAAAGCCTCAGCTTCTAACAACACTAAAGACAGCAAGGGAGAAAGCAGAGCAGCTAATGTAAGTTTAAAAAGCTAATGATTAATTTTCATGTTTTGATTTTTTAAAGATCTCTTACCACCTGAGATAGGGCTTTATGTATCACTGCTGATTAAGGTCAAAAGTCCTTCAGAATCTTTCTGTTATTTCTAAAATACAAAAAGCCTCTTCCCATCCTCAGGGAACGGTTTTCTGAGAAACGTATTTGTGATTAGCATGTGTGAGATTTCCTCCTTGCTGCAAAGCAAGATTGCTGGAGCCCGTGGCTGCAGTCCAATACTCAGCTTCTCTAGGATGATCCCCCCCACACCTGTGTGCAGAATCCTTTAAGGAGGTCACACCAGCAGATCCCACAGCGTAGCTCAACTCCGAGTCAGCAGGTCATAACACCATCAGAGTTTTTCCCAGAGGTATAAACTGACAGGAACGAGTTTGCAGACAAATATGCTAAGAGATCTAGCTAGTGAGGAGGCATGCAGAAAAATTAATCTGGGAAAAAGCGTGGTGAGAAGTCATAGAGTAGCACTGCAGTATGGCATACCCACTTGGAGGTGGGTTTCCCACTCGGGTACTAAAAAGTTTTGAACTAAGATCTGGAAAACTAATTTGTTTTATCTGAAGAGGTACATAAAGAACTGCTTCTCAAAGCATCCTGTCGCACCTGGCTGTGTTACTTGTGGGGCAAGGATTAGCTCAATCCACATGCTTCTTACTTTAACTGCCAATGGATTGCCCAGTGAACCTGATGCAAAGAGTCAAGACTTCAAAATTTTAGACAAAAATGTGAACAGAGGCTTAGGAGCCCTCATGTCACAACAGCACCTGGTCACAGCCATCCTGGGACAGTTTGTAGATAACCTGGAGATACCTCCAGATAATCTGGAGACAGACCCCAGACCAGGTAGCCTAGTTCAGTAGCCACCCCACCCTTCCACATTCACCTTTCATTGCTTATTACACCAGCATTTAACATCTTGGAAAAAGTCTTGTAATTTGCCACTGAGGTTTCCAGTTTAAAAAAACCAAAAAGTTCTTGCCTCTATAGCTACATCAATAAAAGCAGTTTGGTTTCCACCAGTTTGCTCATTATTAAGAACACAATTTGCTAGAAAAAAGATGTTAATGGAAAGAAGCTACATGCAAGTGTCTGTTTTTTGTTTCGGTTTTATTATATTTCCATAATAAGTGCAGAGGTCAGGTAAGTTAAAAAGAAGTGATATTATAAGGCTACGCATTAGAGCACCACCACAGTGGTGATGCTGAAAACAGTTACACTGCTGAAAACACAGAGCACCCAAGCACATCCCTACGCCAAAATATTTAAACCACTGTTGCATTGCACCTGCAGATAAAAAAAAATTGTTGCTGACACAAAGTTGAGAAGAAAAACTGAAATAATGTGAATATAGCCGCTTCAGAGACTCCAAAGGACAAGCTGGAGATGAGGGCTACAACAGCAAGAAGCTTAGGCAAAAAAACATCTGTTTTGTCATTTTTCTATT